GGGGAAGGCACAGACTTGGCATGATGACACTGTTTGGGCAGGAGTGTGGAGTGTCTGGGCACAGACTCTGCCTTGACAGTGTTAGTGCTTGAGAAACGAACTAGAGTAGGAGATCAAAGGGGGCAGCCGACACACTCAGTACAGATCTGGCAAAGGGAAAATTCCACTGGGATATGGACATGCATGTTTGTCCTGTCCTGCCAATGGGCAATGTTCCTGCCTCCTAATGTGAGTGATAAGAGCATCACCCTGTTGCCTGAGCACATGGCATGAGCAATCATGCCCAGCACAGCCTTCGGGCATGCCATGGAACTTGTAGCATGACCAAGAAGCCCAGGATACAGGAGGGGGTGGGAGCCTGTGGTAACTGAACAGCAGCAACTGTGAGGTGGTAAACCATGAGTTTGTTCCAACTTGGAGTGTATTGGGAATGCAGATCAAAGCCTGGAGGAATGTTCCCAGAAATCATGGGAGCGGTGGAAGAGAGGGGGGAGCAGGATCTGAAATCCACCAAACACAGGAGCTTTCCTGACCAAGTGAGCCATACCCAGCTCCCATCCTCCCTTCCACCTGCCTCTTTTCTCCCTCTTCCATTGGTCACTCTAAATCCAGAACTTTCTCTTTCTTCCAACTCTATGCAATGTTGTAAACTCCAGGCTAGCAGGACCTAACTGCTGAGTCAACTCTGTCCTAAAAGAGCCCCAGCTAGGCCTGGAGCACAGCTCGTGTGCTGTGGACTAGACATTCAGCCCTGCAAGAGCAACTCCTCTTCTAAAGGCAGTGCCACCTCTCTGTCCTTCTTGCTGGGGTTATTTGCTTCAGTCTTCTCCACAGAAGGAGCAAATTAAGATCTGTCTCAGGGGACATCACACTGACAGCATCACTACAAATGTTATTGGTCCATTTTAAATACAGAGGAAGGGACCATTTCACTGCATTTTCTGTAGGATCTGGATTCTGGAGATGTATTCAATGGGTGCCTGTCTGCCAGGCAGGGACATTTCTGGAGAGTGTGAGAGGGGCAGAGGGAACCAAGAACTAGGGAGACTGCCAAGTGACCATGGGCACAGGAAGGGTCACACACAGAAGTCCTGCGTGTCTTGAGCATCTTACATGAACTGGCACAGGAGCTAATGGCATGGAAGCAAAGGATGGCCAGGAAGATGTTCTGAGGGCTGGAGCACCTCTGCTATGGAGACAGACTGAAAGAGCTGGGGTTGTTCAGCCTGGAGAAGAGAAGGCTTCAGAGAAACTTAGAGCCCCTTCCAGTGTCTAAAGAAGCTCCAAGACTGCTGCAGAGGAACTTTGAACAAGGGTCTAGAGGGACAGGACAGGAGGCTTCCCACTGCCAGAGGGCAGGGATAGATGGGATATTGGGAAGGAATTGTTCCCCGTGAGGTGCTGAGGCACTGGCACAGGTTGTCCAGAGCAGCTGTGGCTGCTCCATCCCTGGAAGTGTTCCAGGCCAGGTTGGACAGGGCTTGGAGCAACCTGGGCTAGTGGAAGTTGTCCCTGTCCATGGCAGGAGGTGGAACTGGGTGATCTTTGAGGTCCCTTCCAATGCAAACTATTTTGTTATTCTATGATCTCTTCCCAGTGCCCACCATTTCTTCTTGACAGGACACCCCAAAAGACCTACCATTCCTCATCTACTCTGGGAGGAATGGGACAGCCATGCTCCCTTGCCTGGATCACCTGGCTAGCACTCAGCATCATGTAGCACCTGTCCTGGGAGGTCTTGCAAAGCTCCAGGCCCCACACTTCCAGACCCTGTGTGCATTTCCCAGCCATGCACTCCTCTAGGAAAGTGAAAACTCTGCCTGTGTGCACAAACACAGACATCTCCCACCTCCCTGTCCCTGTATGCATACAAGCAGAGCCCATCTTGGACCCCAATGACACTGTCAATTGCCTTGGGAAGTGGACTGAGAGAAGTGGGTGCCTCCCTCTGTGCCTGCTGCTTGGCTTGGTGTGGACCTCTACGTCTTGGGGAGAGGAGCTGGGCTGCCCTAGCAGCAGGGACAAGGTAAAGGGAGAGAGAGAAGAGCCAGAGGCCAGGGGTGAGCCTGGCCTGACAAGGCACAGGCTCAGTGCAGCACATCCAAGGACAGAACCAGGAGCAACAGGGAGGTGTGGTACCTGTTCTGGGGCTCAAAAATCACCAGTGAAATCAGGGCATCTACTGCAGAGTGAGTTTTCCCCTTGTGTTCTGTTCTACCTACAGTGCTGAGATGCCACGAGTTGGCTCTGCATGTGTCCTAGCAGCACCTGGGGCTCCCTGCCACCCTGCTCAGGGGCAAGCAGCCCCAGCCTGGGCTCCAGCCAAGCTCCACACTCCCCTCCTGCTAATCCTGGAGCTCCCAGATCCATTTAGGGACCTGGCAAACACTCAAACACACCCAGGAAAGTGAACATAAAGGTGTGGAGCTGCCAGGAAACAAGCCGAGAGGCACATTTCCCCGTGAGTACGTGTAGGCTGCTGGCGGCTCGGGCAGCCCGAGCTGCGCGGGGCGAGGACTGAGCCTCCCGCAGAGCCAGGCGGGATGCAGGCG